CTCTCAGATCTGATCTTAAGAGAATAACATTCACAAGGAAGGTGGACAAGAAAGAAGGGGGCCAACCGAGCAAGAGCCCCCGACCTAGCAAGGAAGACATCATCTTTTCTAATGCTGATCTAGCAGGCGTGGTCCTCCCCCACAAGAATGATCTGGTCCTGACCTTGAAGATTGGTAACTTTGATGTCAAAAGGGTCTTAGTGGACTCTGGGAGTTCTTCCGAGGTGATGTACCTGAAAGTTTTAAAACGCATGGGGCTGGGTCCCCATGACCTCACCAAAGTCATTGCGCCCTTCGTTGGATTCAAAGGCTCATATGCTCTGCCTCTAGGCAAAATCACACTGCCAGTTACCATTGGGCCCATCACAACCAACACAAAGTTTGTGGTGATCGATTCTAATTCACCTTAAAATATTATCATGGGGTGGGCTTGGTTGCATACCCTAGGGGCTATGCATTCCACCTATCACCAAAAGCTAAAGTTTCCCACCCCAGAGGGGGTGAAGGAGATTCGTGGGGGCCAAGCGTCCACCAAGAATTTTTTCTCTTCATCCGTCAAGGTAGGGGTCGCCTCCAAGGAGAAGGAGCGAGGCCCAGAAGAGATCTTGAATAAAGAGCAATTACAGTTCGGGCGTCTAGGAGTAAACGACCCCCGAACGGATACGACAAATCGCTCAGTAGAGGATCTCCGAAAGGTACTCCTGCTGGATGGAGACGAAGAAAAATACTTCATGGTTAACTCCACCATGCCCCCATCGGAGCAAGAAGAGATGACCAACTTTTTAAGAAGAAATGTAGATGTGTTTGCATGGGATGCCATAGAGATGAAGGGCATGAGTCCCGAGGTGATAACTCGTAGGCTACGTGTTGATCCCGCCCATAAGCCGGTAAAGCAGAAACCACGACGCATGGAGCCGCATCACGCTCAAGTAGTAAATGAGGAGGTAAAGAGACTCTTGGAGGCCAACATCATCCGAGAAGTGAAATTCCTGGAGTGGCTGTCAAACACGGTTTGTGCAAAGAAAAAGGAAGGAAAATGGCATGTGTGCATAGACTTCACCGACCTAAACAAGGTTTGCCCAAAAGATGACTTTCCTCTCTCAAAGGTGGATCAGCTGGTACATGCCACGACGGGGCATCAACACATAACCTTTTTGGACACTAGGGCAGGCTACCATCAGATTCCTCTCCATCCATCAGACCAGGAGAAGACTGCGTTCACCACTCCAAGAGGAGTTTACTGTTACATGGTCATGTCATTCGGTCTAAAGAATGCAGTGGTAAATTATCAAAGAATTATGAATTGAATGTTCAAACGACAGATTGGGAACACCATGGAAGTTTATTGATGACATGTTAGTCAAGAGTCGGAGGAGAAACTATCACCTCACAGACTTGGAAGACACCTTCTTGACCCTCCGGGAGTACGGGTTAAAGCAGAATATGGCAAAATGTATCTTCAGAGTTGGTTCCGAAAAGTTTCTCAAATATTTATTGAGTCAGAACGGAGTCAAAGCCAACTTGTAACAGATGCAAAATAATCTTGGACGTGCACAATCCTCGGACAATCTCAGAAGTCTAGAAGCTCACAGGAACGTTGGCAGCACTGAACTGTTTCATCTCCCGCTCATCAGACAAGTGCAAACCCTTTTTTGGGGCTATCAGGAGGGCCGAAAAGGACACTTGGAGTCAGGAATGTGAAGACACCCTCAAAGGGATCAAAGAATACCTTAGATTCCTCCCAACTCTGTCTACCCCCGCCAGAGAGGAGATGTTGTTCCTTTACCTGGCCGTGTCAAAATTCACAGTTAGTAGAGTGCTAGTCCATGAGCATGGACGCGAACAAAAACCGGTGTACTATGTGAGCAAGACTCTATTAGACGTAGAGACGAGGTACCTATCTTTGGAGAAACTAGCAGTAGCATTGATCACAGTCGCAAGAAAGTTGAGACACTACTTCTAGGTGCACCCGATCACTATTCTAACAGACTAACCCTTGAAGGCAATCCTAAGAAAGGCGGACCTCTCGGGAAGGGTCGCCAAATGAGCGGTGAAAATGGAAGAGCATGATATCAACTTCAAACCTTGCACTGCCATAAAGGGCAGGTGTTAGCAAATTTCATAGCTGAGTTTTCCAGGGAGCCACCCCTCCTCGGGGAGAGGCCCCCGACAAAAAGTTAGGGGCTCTCTTGGAGCCTATGCGTAGACGAATCCTCCAATAGCAAGGGTTCCAAAATTGGGGTACTGCTAATCTCCCCGAAAGGAGCGGTCACGAAACAAGCTGTCCGGCTTGGCTTCAAAGCATCTAACAATGAAGCAAAGTAGGAAGTCCTTATTTCTGGACTCAAACTAGCTGATGCAGTAGGAGCCGCAGAACTAATCATCCATTGCAATTCCATGTTGGTAGTCAACCAAGTCAATGGAGAATTCAAAACAAGGGACTTCAGGATGAGGGCCATACCATCACGAAGCAATGGCTTTGCTCTGCAAATTCAAAAAAGCTAAAGTGAAGCAAGTCCCTCGAGAGAAAAATGCAGATGTCGGCGCCCTGGCCTTGGCACTGGACTCCAACATGACACGAAGGATTACCGTGGAATACCATCCCAATTCCAGCATAAACAAAGCTACTGGAATGATGGCCATCCAAGAAAGGGGGAGCCCCTAGCTGGGCTGATCCATTGCTCAAGTTCCTACTTTTCGGAGAGTTCCCCGAATCCCCCAAAGAAGCCTGAAAGATATAGTTAAGGGCCCCAAGATTCTGGGTCTCCCTGGATTATACCAAAAATCATTTTTTGGAACGTACCTACAATGCGTCCGGGAAGACAAGGTCGAACCTCTTCTGTACGAGGTACATGAAGAAATGTGTGGGGGGGCACTCAAGTGGACGATCCGTGACCCACCACATCATATCCCAAGGTTATTGGTGGCCATGGATGCAAATAGATGCACAGGCATACATCAAAAGGTGTGATCAATGTCAAAGGTTCGCCCCACTCATTAGGCAGCTGTCAGGTGACTTACACCCGCTAACCAGTCCTTGGCCATTTGCTCAATGGGGACTGGACCTAGTTGGACCCCTTCCAAGGGCTCTTGGGGACAAGAGGCACCTGATAGTAGGAATCAATTATTTCACAAAGTGGGTGGAGGCGAAGCTGCTAACCCATATTTGCGACATAGACACCAAAAAGTTTGTATGGGAGTACATAGTGACAAGGTTTGGGGTCTCCTAGGCACTTGTGTTACACAACAAGACCCCGTTCAACAGCGGATCTTTCAAGTCCTTTTGTGAGCATCTCAAGATTCAAAACTACTACTCCACCCCTGCATATCCGTAAGCCAATGGACAAGCAGAATCCTCCAATAAGACCATTATCAATGACATCAAGAAGAGGTTGAAAAAGGCCAAGGGAAAGTGGGTGGATGAGCTCCTAAATGTTTTCTAGGTATACAGGACCACCCCTCAAACCTCCATGGGAGAAACCCCTTACGCCTTCGCATATGGGGTGGAGGCAGCCATCCCGTTGGAGGTAGGCCTCCCACCCATAAGAACATAAGCCTTCGACTCTGGGGACAACAATCAACAGCTCGGCCTAGATATGGATGTCACAGAGGAAATGAGGGAGGTAGCTACCTTGAGATTGGCTGAGTATCAAGAAGGAGTGTCAAGACCCTACAACAAGAGGGTCAAACCCCGAGAATTCCAAACAGGCGATCTGGTACTCAAAAGGGTGGTAGCAAACACCCAGGACCCAATAGATGGAAAGATGGGGCCTAATTGGAAGGGAACATATGGGGCCTAACTAGTAGGGACCATACAAAGTCACTTCAGTTGGAGGCTTATGGTCATATAAGATGGAAGACTTGGAAGGAACTACTATAGTTCGTCCTTGGAATGTAATGAATCTGAAGAAGTACTACTTTTGAGGAATAAGAACTCGTTTTCATACTATGAGAAGTTATCATGAGAAGGGCATAGCCTTGGAGGCGAATTCTCAAGGACTCTTACCTCCAAATAAGAAACAAGAGCAAGCCTCCTGGAAAGGGCATGGCCCTGGAAGCAGAGTCTCAAGTACTCTTGCTTCCGAATAAGATCAGGAACAAGCCTCCTACAAAGGGCATGACCCTGGAAGAAGAGTCTCAAAGACTCCTACCTCTGAATGAACAGGAGCAAGCCTCCTAAAAAAGGCATGGCCTAGGGACCGAGATTCAGGAACCCCTACCTTCAACAAACATACAGGGGCATGCCCCTTGAACAGAAAATGACCCTTGCAAAAAGGCTCTGATCGGCCATATTGCTTGGAACGAGGACAGTTTGCCACGTAGCATGTTATGAAGCAAACATAATTTGTTGGGTGTTCATCTCGTCTTGGACTCCTGGGGTACATGTATGGCCAAATGAAGGAAACCTGAAAATGGGTCATCTAGATGAAGCATCTTTACATCGTAATGCTATTGTAACCACGCCTCGGCAAGTCAATAAGAAAGGAGGCCTTAAGAAAGCAGCTGTCAGGGTTACATATTCACTTACAAACCTCGAGGTCGACCAAAAGAATGCTTGCACAAGTACATGGGTGAGGTTGTCTTAGCTAAATATTAGTAGGACAGGGGAAAACTCCATCCCCTTGGACTGACTAGCGAGAAAGATGAAGTTAATTGGAGTGAAAGTGCACTCCTCAGTGCCCTCGGCACCAATGCCCCTCGGAGCCCTTCACTCCTGACACATGTCCTCGGTCTCAGTACCTGGCATCTAAGAATCTATGCCTTTTGGCCCCGAGGGTCGACCCTTGGAGGTTGGAAGTTGTCAGAGTTAGAAGTCAAAATTTTCCAGTTAGAAGTTACAAACAAATACACAAGTACAACAAAAGAGTACACACAGATTAAGAAAAGTTACTTTTCATTCCAAAAGAAGAGGGCTTTGTGTCCCCCAAGCTACAAAGAAAAAAGAAAGTACAAGAGAAATAAAAAACCTAAGTCTAGCAAGCTAGAGCAGGACTCAACACTTCACTAGCGTCTGCAACAGCATCCCCGAACAGCTCCTCTGTGGTTGGGGAGGACCTAGCATTAGCGGCGTCGACTTGAGGAGTAGCAGTAGGAGCAAGAGTAGGGAGCACTGACAACTCTCGAGCTGGAGGGACCAAGGGTGGAACCGCAGAGCTTGGGGTGGAACGGAGGCGTCAGAAGGATCCACCAAGGCTGGCACTTGGACGTTTGCATCTTCAGCAGCAATCTCTGTCGCGGCCTACAGAAATCTCCTCCAACAGCACATACTCATGCATAAGGAACAAGGGGGATTCAGAAGGAACCTCTGCCGCCCGGAGAGACTCATCCCAGCCCTTCTTAAAGAACTCCCTCTTATTTTCTTCAAGGGCGACTAGGACATCGTCAACGCATTCGTCACTTATTTGCTCCTCCGACCCCCTGTTGGTTTCCACCTACACCCTGATCCAGTCCAGCTCCTAGGTAAGGGCCAAGCAAGTCAGCTCAGATTCCTCAACTGCTACAGATAGTTTCTATGTCGCCTTAATTATCCTCTTTTCAGCGTCAACAAGGGTTACACTCAGCTTTTCAGCATTGACCCTTGCTGTCTCGCCATCCTGCAGGAGTTGGGCGATTTGAGCTGCTTGGGTAGATAAGGTGATGTCCCTCGCTGCCACATCCTCCCTCATAGCAACGAGGGCTTCCTCAGCTTCAGTCTTTAGTCTCTCAAACTCCTAAAGATTCACCCTCTACGAATGGTAGCGCTCGGTGATGACCACTATTTGTTGAGGGACCTGTAAAAGAAAGAAGGTTCACTCAAATGCAGATGAGAAAAATAAGGAGAAAAATGAGCTATTACACTTACCACCAGAAAGAGCTCTATATAATTGAGCGGAACACCTGGTTGGTCGGCCGCCCCCTATGTGCCTTTATGTCGACACTGAATTAGAGTGTTTCACTCACGGCATAGGCCACGTGAGGATCGCCAACGATGGAGTTGTTAACCCAGATCACCCTGTTCATTCAATCTAGGGCCCGGGGGCACCAATCCTCAACTATTGACGTCAACGTTGGAGGAGTAGGAGAGGGAGGAGTTTGTTCCCCTTGCTGTTGCTATTGTTGCTATGATGGGAGAGCACTGCATCGGCCCAAGGCATCATGCCTTTGTTTTGTCCTCCTCTCCACCCCCATTGGGTCCCGATCACGAACCTGGGCTCGGCCAGAGAACCTTGGTGGTATAGGAGGAGGATGGGGCGTTGATGTTAACCCTTGGAGGGGGTGGAGGGACATTGCCAAAGGACCCCTACCCCTCAGGGCAGCCCTCCTATTCAAAAAATTGAGATCAATATGAGGCTAGCAGGACATCGCTACTTCTAGTGCGTCCTCCTCGTCCAAGCTCTGAAGAATGTTAAAATCTGACCAAATATCCCTCTCAGAGGTATTAGCCTCAGCCTATATTGTGGTGGCAGGCTCCCTAACTTCGGCCTCTTGCTCTTCACTGCTCCCGACGATCCCTTCTATTTCAGCCTTAGTGGCCCTGTCAAGATCGGCCTCCAAGTCCTGCTCTAAATCCTCCGAGTGTTGCTAGAAGAGCTCTGACCACTTGGAGGGATTGTAGGGTTAGGGCAGTTGGGAAAATTTCTTGTAGTCGTGAACGTAGTCCAAGAGCACGTGTCCCACTAGGCCAAATTCGTCGCTGATGTACCCCCAGACGATTACTAGGTCAGAAAAGTTAACTAGGTGCTGACGTGGGGGAGCAACTTCACGAGAGGAAACGTCTGCACAAAAGAAAGAAGAGCATCAAGACTCGTATTAATTAATATCAAAAATTTAAAAAGCCAAGAAGAGAGGGTGAAGCCGACATATTCGTTGTTTGCCACTCCTTGGGGCAGGATAAGCCATTATACTCGAGGCCAATCCCTCTCTCCCAGGCGCTGCTGAAGATCAGCAAGTCATCTTTACAACCCTTGTCCGAGTCGGGGAGATGGGTTATGAGGTACATGGAGGGGTCCTGGGCTTTTAGATAGAAATTTTGCTGGGGCATCACCCTCAGCAAAGAGAAGCAGAAAAGAATGTCCTCGAGGCCGATGTTAACCCCGAGGCGTCTGTTAAGCTCCACCACCCCCATTATTATCCTAAAGACGCTCAGACAGCATTGCCTAGGGAAAAAGACGAAACTGAGACAGGAAATAAAGAAGTAGTGGGTGAAGGAGGAATCTGATCCCACCCTCCATGATAGCCTTAGTGTAAAAAGGCATGGCACCCTCAGTGCCGACATTGTGACGATCACGAGTTGGGCCGAAATTGTCAATGTCGACATTGCGAGGAATGTCATAATGGGTCTTGAAGTTGGTTATTTGTTGGATGTCCTTGACCGTGTACTTTTTCTGCCTAGAGGTCCTAGCCTCTTGGACCTCGACGGTAGGGCGACATCTCGGTATTTTTTATAAAAGAAAGCAAAGGGTTCAAAGGGTTCTTTCTAAAGAGTGGGAATCCTAAGGGACACTACAAGATGTGAAGCAATGAGAGAAGGGAATTCTAAAGGACTATCCTAGGATCTCTGGTTTCTCAGAACTAAGACAATGAAGACCTAGAAGGCGAAGAACCACCGGAAAAAACAAGAAAAAGAGAGATGAAAGGAAGACGAATACTCACTGGAAGAAGACTGGGCAAGAGGGACTGAAAGCTTGAGAGGGTTTTTTGTTCCTTCGATGACAACTGATAAAAGGGCTATAAGGGCTTTTTCTCCTTCGATGGTGGTGGAAAAAATGGTTGTGGTTCTACAGGCAGCAAGACTTCGACGATTTTTCGGCGACAAAATCTCTAAGGAAAGCTCAAGGGTTCGAAAAGTGAAGAATGAGGGGAGGCTCTATTTTTATAGGCCCCCTGTCCCCATCATTATGCACGATACACAAAGACAGGCGCATTCAATGCGCACAATCTCCAAAAGGCGAAAAATGGCTGGGGCAATGATGAGGCAATTGAGCCCTTTCACCTTTCGACGACACGTATCCTTTTCGTACGAAGATCAAAGGGCTGGGGGCAGTTGATGGGACACTCCTGAGAAGGGAGTAGATTGCCAACACGTGTCCTCGGCGTTGAGAGTACCCCCTTTCATTCTAACTAGAACATGTGTCCTCGGCACAGGGGGCACGTCTTCTACTCTTGTGAAAACACGTGTCATAGGCTCCGAGCCACTTGTTCCCGGCTCTAAGGGTACCTCCACCCCAAGGTATGATAGACTTATGTCCTCGGCTCTGAGGTATCTCCCCCTCGAGCAAACGCATGTCCTCGGCTCCAGGAGTACTTGCTGGAATTCTGGTCCCGCCACGTGTCTCCTACTTTTGGAAAGGCTACTGATTGGTAGCTACTAACTGACAACTAGTCAGTCATAGTTGGACTAGGGATGGTGGTGGTGCTCTGCACAATAAAATCAGGATGACTGAGCTAACAAGACATTCAACCAAGGGGAGTTAGGCACGTGGCATAAAGTGCAGAGTTAGAGGTAAAAAGATAAAAATGCCCCTACTGACATACGACTATCTCAGGCAAACATTCAATGAATCCTCACATGATGGGACATCAACAGTGGCTTTGAGAGCCGAGGAGGAGGGGCATTAAATGATCCAGGGCCTGAGCATTTAATGTCCCTACATTGGAGAAAGGGCATTAAGTGCTCGGCATCCCGAGCTATTAATATTGGGACACTCCCCATGTGAAATAGGAGGCACACTGCCACAGTTCTTAACGTTACCTACTGCCTAGGCCATCAATGGTGACGAGTCTTTGAAGGTATAAATAGTCCTAAAAAATACATTGTAAAGGTACGCAAAATCACCCCCAAGAGTAATACAGTTTCTTCTTCTTCCCCTCTCTCAAAAAACTGACTTGATTGTCGGAGAGGATACGCTGAAAAACACTCCGGCACCCTTCTAACCTATTTTTTGTGTGCCAGGAACCCCTTGTGACCCACCAGGATTGGCTGGAAAGCCTCTGGGGAAATTTATCACAACTTCTTAGGCCCCATTTGGCCCTCTCAACTCATTCTTTACTGTGGGACCCACAATCTCGATGGGCACGAGTTTACTAGGGGAGAGATCTGTTTCCATTTCATCTATTGTGCAAAAATCTACGCGCACACATATTATCAGCAAGATGCGATAACAAGGTGATCATCCACCTTTAAGATTAATTTAATGTGTTAAATGAAAATGCACATAGAAAAAATAATGTTATACCATAAACAAACTTTGTTAGGAAGGGATTTTTCATTCCTTTTTGATATGTCATCAAGATTTGGACCGCTCAATATTTTGAAGTAAGTATTGAGGAAAGAGAATATTCAAAAGATAAAGCTTAAAGCGTAACAAGCATCGTGCTAAATTAGGTTTATCGGATTTTAGGGATGACAAGGAAGGATAACAAGTGTCTATCCACCAAGTAACATGTTACATATTCAAGTCTTTTTTTTTTTTTTTTGCATGATTTATGTCACTTGTATTTACCAGTTGGTGATGCAAGCCAATAGGCTGAAATTGCTTATAATTCATTATGTTTGTGTTTAGATTTCGCTTTTTTGTTTGAAGTTTCGTCATAATATTTACCACGAGAAATGTCATTATTATATTAGAAACAAAGATGCGAAAGTAATCTCTATACTCTATGTGAATGTATCTAGAAATACTCCCAAGGCCTCCATCCTCATATTCCTATTTTCCTAATATTTTGACTTAAAAAATATTTAAAAGCTTATGTGGCTTCTTAACATTAGTCTGTGTTGATTGTTAAAATTTATTAATCTATATTACTTATCAATGTTGCGAAAAACTTTTGATTTTCTATTTTGTCCTTAATTATTATGAGAAAGTCAACTAACCAACCTATATACTTTCATCTAATTTTTGCTTTTGACTCTTATTTGACTTTTAACTTGACTTGAACTCTTTTATAAGGACATTTAAATTCTTTTTAATTTATTTATTTGTGATACAATTTTCTATATCTATATGAAGAAGTAAAATCTTATATATGTTAAATTATTATAAACATATAGTTACCATATTGAATTCCACGATCAAATATATATTATATTTTATTTTTTGGTATGTAATAATGTAATAATATTATAAACGATCTAATCAATCCATTTAACAAAAAAAAAAAGAGATTCCTAAGTA